CGAGTAACCTCTGACAACCACTAGGGCAATGATGAGCTAGTGTCGCCAAACAATCCGCTGCAAAGTTAGCCTCTCTATAGCAATGAGTCACGGTCACATCCCAGTCCCGACAAAGCAAGTCACGTATGGCACGGACAATGCTACCATGCACACCAAGATTTTCTGTAAGTCCTCCTGTTGCCATTGCCACCACACTCTTATTATCAACCTCCACCGTAACCTTGCGAAACCCTAAGTCCCAGGCAAGCAATAAACCTTGGAAGAGTCCCCACAGCTCTGCGCCCGTGATAGAGCAGTATCATATATTCATAACAAACCCACCAAGCCAATGACCTTCGGTATCACGAATCAAGCCCCCGGCGGATGCCATCCCAGACGAAGCCTGAAATGATCCATCCGTATTAATTTTGGTCATTCCTCTTCCAGGAGCTTCCCAACCAATAAACATTACCTCGCGGCCCATGCCGAAGCCACCCAAACGTCGTTCAGCCGAGGTGGCTAATTGAATGCCATGAACAAACGAGCGAACATCCCGAACGCGCTTAACGACATTAAACTCCTTAGCCGAAAAAATCTTTTCGTTTCGGCCCCTCCAAATTTGCCACACCGTGACACCGAACGTGGTTTCCCAATCTTCCCCGTCAATATTCAACCCATTTTGTAAATTACGGAGCACCCAATCACGCAGCGGTAGGGTAAAGAAGTCGGGATAACGGTGGCCCTGGAATAAGCTCCGCCATACATTGTTCGCCTCGACGCAGTCTCGAAGGCAATGGAGGGTAGACTCTTCAGTGTGCTGACATAAGGGGCATAGCGACGAGTCCGTGAGATGCCGCCGTCGCCTCTCAACATTCGTAAGTAGCCTTTCTTGCACCGCAAGCCACAAAAACTGGCGTATCCTTTGTGGGCCAACCCATCTCCAGATCACGCGCCAAGAGCCACGGTTGCTAACGCTCTCCAGCTGAGTAGGAAGCAAGGACGAGTAGGCCGATTTTGTTGTGAAGCATCCATTTTCCGAGAACCCCCAGTAAATGTTATCAGGCCCGGCTTCCCTTGCGGGCGGCGTGAGCGCGGCGATGCGTAAGGATACACCGGCCGGCACCAGGTGACCAAAAAGGTCCCACCGCCAATGGCCCGAGTCGTCTACATAATTACGAACAGGCCAATCCAATTGGTGCTCGGGAACTGGACTCACCGCTTCGTTGATGAGGGGACGCATGCTATGTGTCCAGTTATCGTACCAAAAGCGAGCTGTCGATCCATCGCCAATAGACCAGCGCACCCCATGGCGCACAAACGGCCAAACCTTGCGCAATGCTCGAAGAAACGCTGAACCTCTCGGGAATTTGAAGTCCGCATTCATCTCGGCGGGTACCAGTTTATATTTGGCCAAGAATAAACGGACCCATAACGAGTTTGGTTTAATTAAAAGAGCCCAACCAAATTTCATCAAGAGAGCCATATTCATCTCACGTTGCCGTTTTAGGCCCAAACCACCAAATTCTTTAGGTTGACAAACATCTTCCCAGCGGACGAGAGGGATTTTTCTGTCCGAGTTATTTCCCCCCCACAAAAAATTGCGGCATCGTTTTTCCAATCCCTCGCATGTCGTAGATGGTAGCCAAGTTGTTTGCATGGTATAATAAGGTAAAGAACTAACCACGGATTGCGTAAGGACAAGACGGCCGGCAAGCGACAATGAGCTGGCCCTCCACCCGGCTAACCGTGCATCCGCCTTTTCGAGAATATGCTCGTAAGTGTGTGTGGTAATTCTACTATGTAGGACCGGGACTCCCAGGTATTTCCCGAGATTGGTGACGACCGAGAAACCCATGGAACGGGCTAGGGCCTGACGCTTGTCCTCGTGAACGTTTTTCGAGAAGAAGATGTCGGTTTTGGCGCGGCTAACTCGGAGTCCGGACATAGAGCAGAACTCCTCTAGGACCGACGTAACCTACTGCGCTTGATCCTCCGTGGCTTCCAGAAACAACAGAAGATCGTCGGCAAACATAAGGAGAGGGACACTAACCTCTTCTCTTCTAACCGGTAGTGGTCGCCAAGTGCCGGAGCTGACATGGCTGTTGATAAGATGAGCCAGCCTCTCGATGCATAATACGAAAAGGTATGGTGATATCGGATCCCCTTGCCTTACTCCACGGTCTGGAAAGAAAGCTTCACTGGTGGTTCCATTGAAGCTAAGTTGCATAGCCGAAGATCGAACACAAGCCATAACATTCCGAACAAATGTGCTCGGAAAGCCAGCCGCGCGGAGTATTTCGTCTACGAAGTCCCAACGTAAGTAGTCATATGCTTTTTCCAAATCGACCTTGATAATCATAAAACCCTTACGACCCGACTTGGTGCGCATGGAGTGGATTAATTCCTGGGCCATGATGATGTTGTTCGTAATGTGGCGCCCAGGCACAAAGCTTGACTGATATTGCCCCACGAGAAGAGGAAGAACCGGCTTCATGCGGTTAACGAGGATTTTCGTAATTAGCTTATATGCCACATTGAGAAGGCTAATGGGGCGAAAATTTCGGATAGAATCAGGGTTAGCGACCTTTGGAATTAACACAAGCACTGTATTATTTAATTCGGAAGGTAGGACACCTCCGTTAAAAAATGCACGGATCATATTGCTTACGGCCGGGCCCACCGTGTCCCATTGTCGTTGAAAAAACAATGCATGAAGACCGTCAGGTCCAGGCGCTTTCAGCGGTTTCATATCCTCAAGAGCTGTTAGAATTTCCGGAGAGCTCACCTCTCGGCCCATGTTGGCAACAGAGCGATATTCAAGCCGTGGGAAAAGACTTGCCATCCCCGGTCCCAACTGAACTGCCCCCGAGTGCACGTATATACTCTTGAAATAAGTAAGGGCCATCTGCTGAATAAGGGTAGGGTTTTTGACTACAGTTCCCGTGTCATCCCGTAAGAAAGTGACACGATTACGGTGGCGGCGTTGCTTGACGGCCCTGTGATAGTACGAAATGTGCTCCAATGTCTTTTAAAATGAAATGGACTAATGTATGATATGCGATGTCATTTTCAATGGTTTTTATGCGTGTTCGGATGAAAGTTCCTTCATTAATCCAATTTTGAAAAAAAATATATATATATATATATAATAATAATATAATATAAAAAAGCCGTGTCGGTTGACTCGTTCACCCTCAAGACAAGTAGTCATTTGACCCGTCTTACCGTCTTACCTATTCAACCTAACCCCCCACTGGGCCCCACCCCCACCCATCTTCCTCAACGAGAGGCCGTCTCAGTTTAGTCTAACAAACACTATTAAAATCCCCAGCTTCATTTCTCCACTTTCTTCCCCAGAAAAACCCCTCTGCAAATCTCTCTCACTCGTCTAACCGTCTAACCGAATCCATATACAAACACATATCCCACAAATCAAGAAAACCCTAACTAACAGAGAATAAAAAAATGAACGATCTATTCTCAGGATCCTTCTCCCGCTTCCGCAACCACGGCGGCGACCAGTCCCCGCCGCCGCCGGACTCCCACAGCATCGAGATGACCACCGGAGGCGTCAACCTCGACCGCTTCTTCGCCGACGTCGAGTCCGTCAAGGACGACCTCCGCGACCTCGAGTCCCTCCACGCCCAACTCCTCTCCGCCCACGACCAGAGCAAAACCCTCCACGACGCCAGATCCGTCCGCGACCTCCGCTCCCGCATGGACGCCGACGTCTCCGCCGCACTCAAGAAGGCCAAGCTCGTCAAGGTCCGCCTTGAGGCCCTCGACCGGTCCAATGCCGCCAACCGCAGCGTCCCCGGCTGCGGACCGGGCAGCTCCTCCGACCGGACCCGCACCTCCGTCGTCAACGGCCTCCGTAAGAAGCTCCAGGAGAGCATGTCCCGATTCGCCGACCTCCGCCAGCGGATGGGGTCCGAGTACCGGGAGACCGTCCAGCGGCGGTACTTCACCGTCACCGGCGAGAATCCGGACGAGGCCGTCCTAGACCGGCTGATCGAGACCGGGGAAAGCGAAACGTTTATGCAGAAGGCGATTCAGGAGCAGGGGAGGGGGCGCGTGATGGACACGATCGCCGAGATCCAGGAGCGGCACGACGCGGTGCGGGAGATTGAGAGGAACCTGAGGGAGCTGCACCAGGTGTTCCTGGACATGGCGGTGCTGGTGGAGAGCCAGGGGGAGCAGCTGGACGACATCGAGAGCCAGGTGAACCGGGCGAGCTCGTTCGTCAGGAGCGGGGCCCAGCAGCTGGAGGTCGCCAGGAAGCACCAGAAGAGCTCCCGGAAGTGGGCCTGCATCGGGATTCTGATTCTGTTGGTTGTTGTGTTGATTATCGTGCTCTCGCTCAGGCCGTGGAGTAATGGCGGTGGCGGCGGCGGTGGTGGGCAGACCCCGGCAGCACCGGCTGGTGGCGCGGCGCCTCCGCCGCCGATGGCGGCTTGAGTTGTGGGGGATGAGGATTAATTGATTCGATTTGTTTGTTTGCATTTTTTTTGTTTGTTTTTTTCCAGGATTTACTTTTCGTTTTTGGGCTGTATATTATTTTCTTTGTTTTTGGGGGTTTGGTGCGAGGTTATGTACTTACTATTGGTTTTTGCATTGCTTCGCAGATTATACTTCTTGCTCACTTGGTTATGGCTATGGTTGTAAATTGAAGTGCTCGAATTTGAATGAGCTTGAGTCGAGTACCCACGAACCGTTCGAATTTGATTGAGCTTGAGTCGAGTTAGAACATGTTGAATTCAATCTCAACTTCAATGAGGAGCCTATAGTTTGTAGCTTCGAGTTCTTGAAAAACCAATCTTATACAGGTAGAATTATCTAAATACTAATAAGTAAAATTTTTTTTATTTAAAAATTTGAGCCACATTTAAGTCGATCTGGAATGTATGTCATCTTTGTCTAGTAGAGTGGGTGGAATCTAAAAATGCTCTGCTTAACTCGAGCAACAGTCAAGTAAAAATCAAACATAGCGTGATAAGGTAAAGATAGCTTCTTCGCAACTCTAGTTATAGGAATAGTCAAAATTCATTCAATTGTGAGTGGTTAGAGTGTTTAGATTTATTTATAAGGGTTAGGGATAATTGTGAAGTTGAATGGAATTGTATTCAAAATAATCGGTCCGGTTTGATTATTTATACAATTTTGATAATTCAATTCTCTTTGGACGCTAGCTGATTTTGGTTGTCCAATGGTATTCGTATTAACAAATGTAATTGTGCATCACAATAAAAGACGATCAATCGCACTCCCATTAGTTGGACAAATAATCCACAAAATTGTTCATTTATTCTTAAGGGTTGTATCATAAGTAGGCTTGTAAAAGAGCTGAGTTGAGCTCGAGGTTTAGGGTGCTCGAGCTCGAGCTCGAGCCATTAACGAGCTGAGCTCGACTCATTAAATGAACAAGTCAAAAATCGAGCTCGAACTCGGCTTGTTTATCACTATTAATGAGTCAAGTTCAAGACTTAACGAGCTGAATTGCATAAATTAGATTAAAATTCTTTTTTCGAGCTGAGCCGAGACCGTCTCGTTAACTAAACGAGCTTTAAATGAGTTCAACATCATTACAGTCTCGAGCTCGAACCGAACTCGAGTCTTGACGAGCCGAACTCGAGCCGATCTGATCCAAGTTCGTTTTATTTAATAGCACTAATCGTACGTAACAAAATTGATAATGTGTGATGAGGGGGCTTATCCAACACCCACACTGGTTTATAGAAGTGCTATAGCGTTTATGTGATTCTTAGAACTAATGTGTGTTTGTTATATAACAAGTGGACAATGCTACACGTACCGCAGCTTGTACCGCAGGGTTTACACTTTGGTTGAAAAACGTATTCTCAGAATACGTTTTTCAAATAATTTAATTGAAAAACGTATTTTCAGAATACGTTTTTCAATGAAGGGTACACCATGCGGTACAACCCATGCGGTACAAATAGCATTTTCCATAACAAGTAGGGCGGCTATTAGGGTGGGCTGTTATTATCTATTCATTCACATTTTTAAAAGGTGTTGGCAATTGTAGAAGAGAAATTTACACAGTTTACATTGCAATAAATAAAAAATATCAAATTTACGATATGATAAAAGTTTCAACATAACTACGTCTTTTAAAAATTAAATCAGATTTAATGCTGTTAAGGGGGCCTAATTAACCGCTAAGTGCATTTAGTTACATATTTAATTCTAATATTGGTGAGAATTTAAAAAAGAAGAAATTCTGTAACATGATTTTCGGGATATGTGATTACTCTCCATCTTTACACTCAACCGACTAAAAAAAGAACTGAAATCTGTTTCTCTCTCTCCCAAATCTCGTGTATTTTCATAGAACTTCATTACCAAATAAAAAGTTCATCTCCCAATCCAGAGAAAAACCTCCATCACCGCCTGAACCTCCACCATCGTTGTTCCTCTCTCCGAGCAGTCGTCCAACGTCGACGGGTTACCCAGAACCCCAGACCCTTCTCCGACGAGCCGTCTCAAAAGTACAGTGCTCCTTATTTTCGCCGGTGAAATTGTGAAAAACAATGGCAAAGGAAAAAAAAATCGAGAGCAAACCCTCCAAAAGTGAAGACGAAGCAAGGATAACTCGCTCTCGAGCTCGTCGCACATCCCAATTTAAACCCCCCGAGCGAAATATTGTACAAAAGAAGCTTCAATTTCAGAAAATAGAGCCTACTAGCCGTGTCAAAAATTCTAACCCGAAGACCGCCGAAGGTGAGTCTGACGACGACGACGATTTCGTCTCACAACATAAAATGAAACAAAAAGCCAAAGAGATTACCCCAGACACCAAGAATAAGAGGGTTCGAAGAAACAGGGTCGAAGCCAAAATTGTTGATACTCCAAAGAATCAACAAGAATCTGATTCAGATTTCGATATTCATGATGAGGAAGAATCAAATTCGAGTGACGTGGGTGCGGATGTACCAAAGAACGGCAGTGACATTGACATTCGATTTAGATTTTGCAGTCATTCGGAATTATATATTATGTTTTATCCCGTTTTAGTGTTGTTTATATGTTGTTTATCTTATGTATAACTATACGATTGTGTATTATGTTTTATCCTATTTTAGTGTTGTTTATATGTTGTTTATCTTATGTATAACTATACGATTAATATTAGAGAACTGTCATATTATGTTTATTTGATTGTTGTTTATATGTTGTTTATCTTATGTATAACTATACGATTAATATTCGAGAACTGCCATATTATGTTTATTTGATTGTTGTTTATCTTATGTATAACTATTCGATTAATAATAGAGAATTGTAATATTATGTTTATTTGATGTATATGTATAGTATATTTGAACATATACATAGAACAATTTTTGTGCTTTCTAATTCCTATATTCTAGGTTTCAAATTTGTTTTTTTTTTCGATTTTCCTTTTTCCTTGCAGTTTTTTCTAGCGGTAATTGAATTGAATACACGATTTTTAATTGGAGAGAGAAACAAATTTAGCTGCAATTGAATTAAATGCATGATATTTAATTGGAGATAGAATAAAATCCTAATTGGAGAGAGAAATATGGAGAGAGATAAAGACTCACAAATTAAGTGCGTGTTTAATGGTTGGAGAGAGAAGGAGATCACGCTGTGAGAAAATAAATCTCGTAGTTGTGAAATAAAAAAACACCACCAAGTCCTATTTTGATTGAACTCTCTCCAGATAGTATATATGATAATTTTTGTTATATAGAGTCTCTGTATGTAAATTTCCCATTGTAGAAAACGTGAGACCCACTGCCCACATATGATGAGTTCTGATGTTATCAAAATAATGAAATGGCTTATTGGGCCACATATACTCGATTACTCAGTCAGAGACTTGCAGTATGAACCGAGTGTCAAAACCGATTAGCGGTCGAAAGAACCGAACCGTAAGACACTGATTTTGTAATGAGAGATTTGCACTCATACGTTACCAATTTCAAAAGAATTGCATGAAAACTTATTTGCAAGTATGTCTAGATTAACATAATTATATAGATAACTACAGTATAAAAGTCAAACAAAAAATAAAGATCAAGAATCCCGTAATTGACGGGATTTTTTAATAATAAAAAAGAAAAATTTGAACTAAACAATCATGAGCAGCATCGTCCATTACGATCAACGTCATCCATCGCAAGCAGCGTCGTTCATTTTCGGAGCAACAGATGGTAGAGAACAAAACATATACAAAAAATATACAGAATAAATATTATATATACGTACAATATATAGTATATGAACCTAGGATCATGCCGATCCTTATGATTTTGAATTCAGATTTTTCATATAAAAATTCAAACTATACACACTCTATCAGTGTGCACACGAAAAATATAAACAATATATATATATATATATATATATATATATATATATATATGAAAATATACACTATATATCTCTGCAACTACACAAACAAACAAAAAAAAAAGAATAAATATACTATATATATACAACATATATACTGACTGGTTTGGTCCTCTGCTCAACTAAAACCTAAACACTAAAACTTCTCGGATGGCCTTCGCGCAAAACCCCGCCACGCCTGACCATTTCAATGAAGACCTCCTCGACGACAAGGAATTTTTCGGTCGCGATGAAGACGACTCTGTCTCCTCTGCCGCCCTCGCCATCGATCACCCTTCCCCATCCACCTCTGAGGCCTGACGAAGACGACCAAAGGCTCTTCGAAAGCCATGGAGATGACGGATCTGCCAGGAGGGATCTGGATTGTTATTCATGTCTCGCCTTTTTGAGATTAAATTGATAGAGAATAAGGAAAGAGAAAATAAAGGCGAAAAGTGAGAGAGAAAGTGAGATTGTTATGAAAAATAAATATAAAGACTAATCCCCCTATATATAATTCCTGAATGCGCTGAGCCTACGTGGCTACTTCTGGTGCTTCGGAATCCTATTTGGCGAAGAATCATGTTTCATAATTAGGTTTGGACAAAAAATATTGATAATATTAATAATTAATAAGGTTCGGACATTCCATAAATTTTATTTAGCTAACTTAGGTATTTTAATATCATTTGTACTAATATAACCCTTTAATTCTTTGTAATTTTACATAGTTAATTAGGCACTTAGTGACTAATATATCCCTGACTTTTGATTTGCTTCCTACAATTAGCTATTGAATTGTAAATGTATTTTAAAAGTTGATAACTTTTATATTTCTTATCGGTTTTACATATATAATATATCAAATTAATCATCTTTTGATGATCTTTGATTTGAAATCCATATTGAATATATGAAATAAATAAATTATTTATATCTTTATAATAATAAAAAATAATAATATTTACTAAAATTCATTAGAAAAATAAAATTATTTCTCAATTGATATATTTATGTTTAATGTAGTTATATGTTGTAAGTTAAAAAAATTATTATAATATAACACATGTAAGTCGCACAAA